CTTTCTTTTGTCTGCTCCACTTTTCAGGCCGTTTGGAGATTTTCCCATTATTTGACATCACAAAGGTCAAAACTAAAAGCTACAGAAACAGACTGTTCTGAGCAGGACTGAAATAGAGGGGTTTGTAGGCATGATCAAATACAGGATCAGAGTGGATTTTTAACAAGGAACTTTACAGATGTGTTTTAAGGAGCTCTGAGGCTTAAACTGATTGAAAAGGAGGATAATATATGACCTTTAAAAAGATATTTAAGTTAAACAGCAACCTAGAGGAAATATGTTTAAAATATGTCTTAAAATCAACAGTCAAATGTCAACTTCTTGCATTTTTTAACAGTATGAAGCCCTCTGCAGCTGGGATCAGGATAATCCTGAATTATTTTTGGATCAAAGTTATGTCAAGCTTATCACGAGCTAAATACAAAGATTAAATTACCTGATCTTGTTCGATTACGCAATACATTTCTTGTTTTTGTAACTACCCAATTTTAAGATTAAGTCCAGTCTGTTACCTTTCATCCTGTTGGATAACTTTTGAACAAGCGTCTCCATCTGTCAGCTGGAGTTCTTCTTCTGATCTCTGACCTTTACTTACTCAACAGCTCCACCTACAGGAGGCAGCAGCACTGACACATTAACAGTGCATGCAACTATGCAGTATTACAAATCGTCAGGAAAATAAACATGTATATTTAGATAACCACAAAATACTTGTGACCCAATCAAAGGAAAATCAGAATGAAACCCCTCATCGCAACCGCACCCCACGACAAACCACCCACCCCACTGCACCCCATCACACCCCACTGCACCCCACCGCACCCCATTGCACCCCATTGCACCCCATCGCCCCATTCGACCCAGCTACACCAATGGGCAGCAAGAGCCAAAACACCAACAAGGCCGCCAAGAGGGACCCCTTCCCCCAGTGCCCTGTCCAGTTAGTCCCAGGACACCTCAGGTAGGCCGGACAGCAAGCCCAGGTGTCCCATCCCCTTCCACACCAGCTCCCACCATCCACTACAACCACACGGGAAAACAGAAAACAGAGAGTCTGCAGAGAGATGTTAGAAAGAGGAAAGGGAAGACATGGCCGGGGGGGAGATACATGTTTGGGCTAAAACTCACCCTCGCCAGGTTAAGCTGCAGTTATACCTCCTGACTTTCTCCATGTTCACGAGGGAAGAGAGATGTTAGAGTACAACCAAAGCCAGGGTGAGAAGACTCAAACAAGATGAGCTAAATATCCTCATGTGTCAACACAAATACACGTAACATAACCTCCCCTACAATGATTCTCTTATTATTATTATTTAGATAAATGAGTTACAGGAGCTGGCTGTTGAGAGAGCTATCAGGACACACATGATAAACACACTGACAGAAATAGAGAGATCACACTGACTGAATGAAGACACACCTGTGTACCTGAGAGAGAACCTTCCTCCTGTCAGGTCTGTGCTGAGAGAGACATCATGATGTCATCAGCTGATCACTAATCATCACCATCATCTTCATCATTAATGCAGCTGTCAGACAGATTATCCAATTACTGCCCTGTGCTGCTCACTCTGTCAAGGTGTGTTAGTATGACGATGATCCACACAAGCACTGTGTGTGTTTTATGGGTGTGAGTGTGGTGTGCAGAGCTACCTCAAGTAAGTAAGTGACGCAGAAGAAGAGATGGCATGTTAGAAAATCTGGATTACACATCATTCTATTTGAATCAGATATAAAATAATCAAAGTGTATAAAAATACAAAGCTTTGTCGTCTTTATACTGATGGTCAGCGAAACAAAACAACAAAATTACGAGGACACTCCCTGAAGTAAACTATCGATATCCGTATGGAGGGGAAATTAAATTTCACACTCTGTTATTGAGACATGCTAAACACACATAGGATAAAATACACCCATGCATGAACAGAATCCTATAGACATGCATGGAGAGATTTCGGGGGGGGGGAGTCGATGCGTTGCTCAAGGGCAACTTTCCAGCTAGTAGACCAATGTCAAGATTTGTTCTGATTGGGCAACCCTCTGGTTCCCAGCACAAGTCCCTAAATTTAGCTACTGCCGCCCATACAAGCATGAAATAAATAGTAAGAAAAATATCAATAATGCCACACAATGCAATGTGATGTGCAGATGAGCATTAGCAGTAGCACTACATGTAAGCAATCACAGTTAAGGAGGGGTGATAAGCTGTTTTTCAGTCTCTTGGTTTGAGAGTTTATTGTCTTTATGCCTGCCAGAGGTGAGTGGTTGGAAGAGGAGTTGGCCCGCAGGGTGAGTTGAATCATGGACAATGATTTAGGCTCTGCTCTGACAGCAGGCCTCCTGGATGTACTCAGCTGTCGGCAGCTGGGTCCCAGTGATGTTCTCGGCTGCACTGATGATCACTCCTTCTTAGTACAGCTGGCTAACTAAGCTGTGATGCAGTTAAGATGATCCAACCAACTAAACTTAACTAGCTCAATAAACCAACCAACTAACTTAACTTAACTTAACTTAACTTAACTTAACTTAACTTAACTTAACTTAACTTAACTTAACTTAACTAACTGACTAACTAACTAGCTCACTAAACTAACTAACTTAACGTAACGTAACGTAACGTAACGTAACGTAACTTAACTTAACTTAACTTAACTTAACTTAACTTAACTTAACTTTACTTTACTTTACTTTACTTTACTAAACTAAACTAAACTAAACTAAACTAAACTAACTCACTATAACTACAGAGCGTGTATATAAGATTAAATAACCATGACAATAATGAGTTGTTTACTAAGGATAGAAAACAGAATTTAACAAGATCAACTCACTGAAAAATAAAACGGTTGAGTCCTCTGAGAGTCACAACTGAACCAGACATTTTTCAGGATCACCATGGTGACAACTTGAAATGACTCAGGGTGCATCTGAGATTAAAGTGGGTGCAGCAGCTACAGTGACGAGCAACAGCACTGAAAAATAGCATATACAGCCTTTACTACACTTAAAAAATATATATATTGTTATTTTTTTGCATCCATTCAATCGAGGGTGCTGAAATTCAAAACGTGGCCTGCCGCCATAAATACTCCTCAGCTTTACGGTCTATTTGACTTTAAATCAGTCGCTCTCAGCTGGAGGGCTGAGACCCAAAATGTGTTGCAGAGCCGTTTTCACTGGATTTCATCCCGGTCTGTTTGCCTGGAAAGAATCTGTGTGGCAAAAAGTAAATGCTCCTGATTGAATATTCTTTCTAATACAATGCTATTGAGTATAAACTGCTGATAGGGTTATCTATCCATACAGACTTTCACTTGTGTTGCACATTTGACTTTTTGTTCAGCTGACAAAAGGCTGGTAACACATAAGAGAGGAAACTTTTTCCTTTTCATGCACTGCCATTTCGGTTGACAATTTCTGTTTTGTGTTGTTGAGATACTGCGATGTTTGTTCACATAAACATTTAATTTCAATGGTTTAAAATGTTTAGAAACATGGGTGACTGGGATTAAGGAGGTGGGAGTGGATCCTGGGGCTAGACCAGTTTAGAATCACTGCTCTTAATGGGACCATAATTGACTAAATTCAAATCACAATGTATTGATGAAGACTTGAAATAAGAGATTGAGACCACCAACTCATGAGGAAAATGCTGTGATGTGTTTCCCCTGATGCACATTATCAGCTATTCCGTTTAAGGCAGATGGCTGTCACTATGAGTCTCGAGATTTATGCCTGTTAAATTAAGTTTTTTTTATTGCTTCTGTTGTCAAATGTGCCAATTGTTTGCTCATTCCATCAATAATGTCACTAAAAGTAGCGTCTTATCCACTTGTATAGTGGACACAGCTCAGCCAACACAGTTTCAGCTTGAGTCTGGTTTTGCTTGAGGTTTCTGCCACTTTAAAGGAAGTTTTGTCATTCCAACTCTTAGTGTCTTGAAATATAAAAAAACATGTATGAATTGCCGTATAAAAATCAAGATTGACTGATTTATTAATGGATTTAGGTAACGGGACGGCTGTGGTAGAGTTGGTCAACCCCTTAACCAGAAGGTCGGGGGATTGATCCCCAGCTCCTACAGCCACGTCTGATGTGTCCTTGGGAAAGACACTTAACCCCAAGTTGCTGCTTCTTCAGCATTGTGTGAATGTAATGATGGTCACTTTGTCAAGCCTCTCAGTGTGTGCTGTGTAGGTTTGACCTTCGGTGTAACCTTTGGTGTAACAGTGCTTTGAGTAGTCAGAAAATTAAAAGTGCTATATAAGCCCAAGTCCTCCGGTATGTTTAGTCTGCTTGGATTCAGATTTACCAATAGCGATCTTTTGAATCCATTCATAGACCAACGCAGTGCTACAACTATCCAATATAAGTTTGGCCACAATCTGCAAGACACTGAATTACCTTTTTGTTTTATTTCCATAAGCAAGAGATTATGACATTAAATTTATCAACAGCAACTTCTATTGCGCAATAGGGTTAGGCATAAAACATTAATGAGAAAAAGATGACATTTGTTGCTGCTTTCTCAACATTGAAAAGTCAAAGTCAAAGCTACCATTTACATAGGCCTACTTTCCAAAGATAATTCCAAAGATAAAGCTGTTTCTATCACTTCTCATTGTTGCACTTTCCCATGTTTCAAATGAAAAGTAATACTTTGTACAAGTGATACTTTTGCATGGAGTTGACACATTGAAAATGTCCTCAGCTCACAGTCTGCCTCAGATAATCTAGGTTAGGCGTTTAGATGAAATCATTAACTTCCTTGTGACAGGGGATTTACATGTTCAATAAAAACACATTTATTAAGTCACTTTCCTGTAGATATGTCACGCTGGTTCTTTTAAATACATCTTGACAACTCTATTGCACTAAATGTGTAAAATGCCTTCAAGATGAGTAAAAGAGAATAATAAAGCAGTAATAATATATGAGTCCCCCCCTCTCTGTGTTTCATAGTGGTACAGCCCGAGGCGCGCTCAGTGATTTGGCGCTCCTGTCCCCGGCTGGTTTACTGTAAGCAGCAGCTGAAACACACAACAACACTCTCTCTGTCAGCTTTGTGAGCTTTTTAAACATTAAACCGATGACTTTAACAACCAGTCATGTCTGAAGAGGAGAGCAAGGTGTCCGATGAACTCTTCAAGGATGTCAAATTCTACCTGGTGGGGGACATCGACCAAAAGGTGAGGACCTTAGCTTCCTCTGGCTAACTAGGTAGCATGCTAACCTGCTAGCACCATTCAATCTGAATGAGGAGAAGCTAACCAGCTAGCGTTCAGGCTGCCATGAAAACAGGCAGGTTAAACTTTGGCTAACGTCGAAGTGTGCCAGCGTTACACCTGTGCATGCGAACTTATTATGATAATGTTCAAGATACTTGACTGTAAATGGTGCACTGTACTTGTGTGATTTAGCTTCAGCGCTGAGTTTCGTAGTTGCACAGATGGTTAGCTGTTAGCATGTAGCCATCGGTTTATCTGTCAAGGGCTTGTTGTGTTTACGTTTGTTGTTAATCTGTTTGTTTTCATCCCCAAAACAGCGCTGATCTGTCACATAGTGAACCCTGTTGTGCACTGTTATTATTATTGTTGTTATTCTGCATCAACCTGTGACCACCAACATCCCCACTGACCTGCAGTCTGCGCATGCGTCGTCACCGCTGTATGCGACCTGTAGCTCACAGCTGGACCAAATGTAGTCAAGTGTTTAAATGTTAGATTTATTTTAATGATCAGTAGTGTAAAAAAAAAAACGAGCTCTACATCATAAGACAGGTGAAAATAAAATAAATGAATACATCAAAAGTTGAAAACAATCGCCTGCACATTGTCTGTACTGCGCAGATGCTGTTATCAATGTGTCATTACCGAAATAAAAACAAGAAATGACCCAATATTGGGTGACTGTTGAGGGGTTAGGAATGTATTGCAAATTTGTAATGGCAATGTATTCAGAATAAAAGCTTTCGCAATAAACACAACGCCTTTATCACAATAATTAAAGATTGATAATATTTAAAGAAGAAAGTATTTCTCAGTCAGTATGTGCACATTTGACCTCTTTGATGGAGGCCCGGGTGTAATGGTCATACTTCAAACAACATCTGCAGGTTATTTGCCAGAGATGCACCGATCCACTTTTTTTTTTAGTTCTGATCTGATTCCGATATTTATATTATCATAACTAATAGTGTTATTGTTGTTGTGGGTATTATGTGTAAGGCTACACAAAGCTGTAGAAAACTCGGCGTGGCATTGTGCGGGCTTCACATACGAACAGGAAGCAGCAACAACTTTCAGGTTTTCAAATTAAATATTGTAAACTGAAGTGTAAGAGTTGTACTTTGATCGTATAGAAGGAGGTCTTCCATCTCGTCCCAACGTCGTCATGGAGACAATTGGTGGGCACTTACAGTCCAGTCTGAATGTCTTTAAAGTGAGACTGTACGGGCTGAGAATGTTTAAAGTTCCCAACCAGCTTTTCGTCGTTCTGATATCAGATACGTAAATTACGTCAATATCAGACCCGGTGCTGATAAAAGATCGGATCAGTCACATCTCTAGTATTTGTAATATTCTATGATCAAGCCAGCGTCATTTAAAAGCATTTAAGTGTTCAAAGTTATAGCCAAGGACTGCACATCTTTTCAGACTTCAACAGAAAGGACCATAAGGGTGTGTGGGAACGATGTGTTCCTGTTTTACAAGAAAAACTGTCAGAGAACATGTCCTGAATGTTCAGAAAGGAGCGGGAACCCTGAGCTCCAGGTGGTGTAATTGTAAAAGTTGTTGAGTGCATTAATGCTGGAGGTATTAAAATGAAAGGCGGGTTCAGAGTAATTTCTCTTCAGTATGCAGATTAAATATCATGCCATCATCGCCCCCTCTCCTCAAACCCTCCACGCCAAAAAGATGACAGAGAGCTGAATAAAAAAAAACAACCTTGCAATCGTAAAAAATCTGTCATTGTTAAGGATTGAAGTTATCTTGTATTTCTCTGTAGTTGTCGTCTTTGTTGACTTACCTGTGTTTATGTTCCAGGTTGTGCAGCTGTTGAAAGCAGGAAAGGGGAAGGAGGTGTCCTATAATGCTCTCGCCACTCACATCATCGCTGAGGACGGGGACAACCCCGAGGTGGGCGAGTCCAGAGAGGTGTTTGACCTACCTGTGGTCAAGGTAAGACCTGCACCAGGTGTGTTCACACTCTGCCGCGGTTAGGCTTAACATCCCTTAACACCCTTTTGGTTAAGACACAGTTTTGTTTTGGATGAAAGCAGATCAAGAATTCAGGAATAATGAGTTCTGCTGGGTGTTATAACCATGTGGGTGGATCTGTACTGTGGTTATGAAGCTACAGCTGGTTAGCTTAGCATAACAAAAAGAGTAGAAACAGGGGGTTTACAAGTAAATATATTCTTTTAGTAACTTTCACATTAGCGCAAAAAAAAAAAAAAAGAACAGCGTTAATGAATAAATGTATTTATGGACAGGAAACTTTTCTCTGAGGTTTAATCCTGAAATATTATGTTGCTGTTAGGGATGGAAAACAAAATGAAATGAACTTTCCAGTTTGTGTCTCCTGAGATCCTGACTGATAATCCAGATAATAATCATGAACTGGTCTCTGTGTTTTCTCGTCCTGCAGCCGTCCTGGGTCATCCTCTCCGTCAGATGTGGAGACCTGCTACCGTATCCTTTACACATAAATAAGTGTGATTTGAATGATTGTTGTAATGATTTAAGACTATTAATAGATCGATTGTGGATGAGTAGGATTGATCATCATCAGGTTTGACTTCCAGCTGTGTTGGTCCATAACTACAACTCTTCAGAGTGACTGGATTCTCTCCAGAGTCGGGACAGATCTTCTTTGGTGTGACGGCGTGTCTTCCCAGGGTAAGTGTGTGACTCTGTGATGGGGATGCAACAATTCTCAGGGTAATATAGAAATGTTCGGTACGGCATCCCCGGTCCAATTAGCGCGTCTGTTTTGAGTACATCTAGCTTCTATGCATTGTATTTCTCTCTGTATCGGCTCCGTCTGTGTACCTGTGAGGTCTGGGAGATGACATTACTGGTTTCACAATACGGGGTTAGATCCCAACTGATCAAGCGTGATCCGTGTCACCACTAAGGCTACTGAAGTACAGGTTTATCTATTTAAAATGGTCAGTTTATGTTTGCAGACATATTTCATAGTAAATTTAATTAAATGTAATATATTTTTATTTGTTAACATGTTTTAATTCATATTTGCCCCAGTTTTTATGTGAGATTCCAAAGTAAGTTTTTTCTTTGTTTATTTTACATCATACTACACACACGTACACCAGGAAGGTGTAAAGATGGAATTTTAAATCAAGTAAATAAATAGTTTTGGAATAAAATTTAAAAAAGCCTTTATTTTTCTTAAATTTGCCTGAAACTCCTCAGGATGGAATAAAAAAAAAAAAAAACACTCGATGCCGTCAGAACTTCAGTGAAGTGAAAACTGTTACCAAATATCCAGGCAGCGTTTTGAACCGTGGGACGGTCTGTAGTGTTGTAGTGTGACATCCCCACTGTGTGTGTACATGTCATTAAAGAGCTGTATGAAGTCGGGTTTTCACGATACCAGACTTTGATGAGACACTGGTAAAAATCACACAATATTGATACCTGCTTTGATACCACGGCAACAAAAAAAGAAATTCCTATGTACCTGAAATTGCACCCAAACTCCAGCACGCTGTCTAGTAGTCCCCAAATATAAAGTACAGATCCGTAGAGCTTCGGCCCTTTTACAATGAAAGCCTAGTTTGTTTCCTTTTGTGATGCACGTGATGCAGACGGGTCGGATAAAAATGTTCACTGTTGCCTTACTTGTTTAATATTGTCTGAAGCTCCAGGTGCTGAAGCTCATTATTGTTTCTTTGTCTCCTCTCTCTCTCTCTCTGTCTCTCTCTCTCTCTCTCTCTCTCTCTCTCTAAATAGCTTCCCGATGACCTGAACACTATGTGGGCGTATGTGACCTTCTACGGAGGAGAATGTCAGCTGAACCTCAACAAGAAGGTCACACACTTAGTGGTGAAGGAGATGAAGGGGGTGAGTTCACCTGTTTGCATTCAAGAGGACGGAATCAGCCAGTGATTAAGCACGCCCCCCTTGTTGTATTTTCTGATGTGCAAATCTGTTATTAATGTTTCCAAGTTTGGATCTTAAAAAGTCTTAGATTTGATATTGAAAAGTATGCAGGAAGCCCATAAGCTGATTTCTCTTTGCATGTTTTTAGAGGTTCTGTAATGAAGGTACAGGTGTTCAGTGTTCAGTTTGTGTGACACTGTGTTCAGTGTCACACAAACAGCAGCTGGAAATTAAAGCTGGTTCACTCTTTGGGACACTTCTTATCACACTGTTGATTTTGATTTTGATTTTTTTATATATATTTTTTCTCCTCCAGGCCAAGTTCGAGTGTGCTCTGAAACATCCCAACATTAAGATCGTCACCCCGGACTGGATCACAGACTCTGTTAAAGGTCTTTTTTTTTAGTTTAGTTTTATAGCTGAGTTTGTGTTGGCACATAAGTAGATCATTAAAGAAGCTGCAATAAGAAGATTTCGATCCTTTAACTAAAGAAGACTTGAGAGGATTAAAAGACATTTCCTAAAAAAAAACAGTCAGAAAATTTGAATAGTCTATACAACTATACTTCTACTGTTCAAGCTCATGTCCATTACATCTTAAACCATGTTCATCACTTTAAAGATATTTGAACACCTTCCATCAAATAAAAAAAGAGAGGATTCTTATAAACAGGAAGTGATCACATCTAAACTGCTTCTCTGTTCCTCTCACAGACAAAAGCAGGAAGGACGAGACGTGCTATCACCCCAGGCTCACCTACGTGGAGCAAGAGGAGGACGACGAGAGCGAGGCAGAGTCATACGAGCACTCTGATGGAAGCTACAGCCCCCGGCGGTCCCGGGCGTCCAGCGGGGGCTCGTCCGGCGAGGAGTCCAGCCCCCGCAGGAGACCTGGACCCAAAAAACTGAACTCTCTCTCCCCATCCTCCCCTCGTAAACCCGAGCGTCGCAGCGAGCGCATGTTCGACGACTCCGACGATGACTCCCCCGCAGAGAAGGAGGGCACCAACCTGAACTGGACCCCAGCTGAGGTCACCACCCCCACCCACCCTGGTCCTACAGGTACAGCCAGACGGCGGGGCGGACCCCCCGGCACCAAGGACCCGGTGACCACTGCAGGAAGTGGACTGATCAACCTGTGTGCCACTGTGCCTCCTGTACCTGGAACAACCACACCTGCAGAGGCTCGAGCCGCTGCTGCTGTCAGTCACAACGCACAACAAGGTCAGTCTGCGAGATCCTACCTCCTCTACACAAAAAACGTTACACTACACACACACACACAAACACACACACTAAAAATCTAAAACATCTTGTTTACATCTTTGAAAACATGTAATTGAACATTTAACACCTTCAAGTAGGTATGTAACGATACACTCATCTCACGATTCAATACGTAACACATTACTGAGTTCACAACATAATTTAATCAAGCTCTTCTATGATTTTTTAAAATGTATTCATGAATACATGAGATTGAAGTCAATTTCAGAATATACATGATTCTTTTATTTGAAGTATGACATTAAAAGACCTTTTTCTTGTTTTCTTTCTAAATAGAAGAAGAAATATTCTGAGGTTGTTTAATTAACGATTAAACAAGAGGTATACCGTATGTATTATAAGAAGGTGACAGTGATGATGTTTTTCAAAAAAGGCTGTGTTTGAAATAATAGAAGGATTGTAAAACAACTCTTAAATCAAATGAATATATGACACGTTTATAAATGAACATGTGCAGCCTGTGTGTCTGGTGTTGAAGCATAGACAGTTTTCGACTTAAATTCGACTTCATTACTTTTTGATGCTTTCAAACGAGACATCAGTTATTTTAACGTTCCATAGTATTCAAAAGTACAGAAGTTATGAATACAAAAACGGACAGAGAGTTGTATCAACTCACAGCTGCTGCGAGAGAGTGAAAGAGAGAGCGGAGGCGACTGATTGACATTGAGATGAAGTGGTGAAACCCACTAAGCACCAATTAAAGACCAAATAAGATGCTACTTTCTGATCGTTTCACAGAAGTTACGCTCTAAAGAACTTAGAAACCCGTCGACACCTCCACACAGACGTGCAGGATTTAGTTTGATTGCTGCTGAAGTCGCTCTCCTTCCTGATGGCGCCATGTGCCTCTGCTCCACCCTCCGTCACAGACACTTCACCACTAAACGTTTTATTCACCGGTCTGCAAATACGTTTTCTTAAGTTCATTCTGAACAGTGATACTTAACCTTGTCTGACTCAAGAGCCACATTGATGAATATATTTTTGCAAGAGCAACAATCCAAGAAGGTCCCTTTCTTCTATAAATACAATCAGCATTGCGTTGCTTTTGCTCTCTCTCTTGTGTGCACACACTAAGGACATTGATTGAAAGTACAACTTATTTTCAGAATTGCATTAAAAGTATGAACGGTTTTGGTTTTAATCAAGTTGGAGACATTTTCCACACATTAATAAAGGCAGTGGCTCAGTTTGTAGGGACTTGGGTTGGGAACCGAAGGGTTGCCGGTTCAAGTCCCGATCCGGACCATATTATGGAAGTTGGTCAGGTGGCTGGAGAAGTGCAGAGTCACTTCCCGAGTCCTGCCAAAATGCCCTTTAGCAAGAGAACAAACACCCAACTGCTCTGGTGCCATCCCTGCGTAGCAGTGTGTAGCAGCTCTGTCATCTCTCCACTAATGCATGTCCACAGGTCCATGTGTGTGATTCAGGCCTATGTGTGTGAGCAGCATGTCTCTAAATAACAGAGTGTAAACCAGAATTTATGAAAGACAAACACTACCTAGTGTCCTTATGTTCGTTGTTGGATTGAGGCTACAGAAACAACTACACTGTTGTTTCACACTCAGCAGATTGAGAGTTTGAAGGACCACATCCTCATGCCAAGCCTTGACATGTTGTTTGTTTGTCCTGTTGCTGATGGTTTCTCCTTTCTCTGCTGGTCAGGCGTTTCAGGTCCAGAGGGACTTCCTGGATGGAGTCCTGCTGCCAGAACCCTCAGAAACATCACCAACAACTCAGACATGCAGCCGACCAATCGACCTGCTAACGTAGCACATGTAAGAGACCAGGTGATCAGTTATTATCTCTGCTGTCAGTGTGGACGAGCAGGGTCACCTGTCATCACTCACATTGTAAAAATACTAAACATACACCTTTGAACACACTTTGATCATTCCTATCTTCTTGTTCTTCTCTGTCCTCGTCCTGCAGATCATCCAGAATCTCACAGCCAATCAGACAAAGCCACTGGAGCAGCAGACCAATCAAAGCCATGCTCAGACCCTGAACAGTACCACACCGCTCCTCTTCAATCAGTCCAAACCGGGCAGCCAGCCCCTCACAGCCGAGCAGCAGCAACAGTTAATGCAACAGCAACAATCCCACCAGGCTGCTCAGCAACAACAGTTACCACAGCAACCGCAGCATCCCATGATGCACCTGCAGCAACAGCATCAGATGATGCAGCTACATCACCAACAGCAGCAGCAACATCAACAGCCACAGCCACAGGTTGCACAACAACAACAACAACAAGGGTTCCCACAGTTGCCCCAACAACAGCAACAGTTTCTGCAGCAGCAGCAACAACAAATGCACCAACAGCAGATGTTTTCTCAGCAGCAGCAACAACAACAACAACAACAACAACAACAACAACAACAACAGCAACAGCAACAACAGCAGCATGCGTTCTCCCAGCAGCAACTGCGTCCCCAGCAGCTCCTCCGGCCGGGTTTACAACAACTACAGCAACAACAGGCACTGCAGCAACAGCTCCAGCAGTTCCAACAGCAGCAACGAATGCAGATGTTACAACAACAACAGCAACAACAACAACAACAACAACAACAGAATCAACAACAGTTACACCAACAGCATCTACAGCAACAGCAACAGCAGCAGCAGCAACATTTTCTGCAACAACAGCAACACATGCAGCAGATGCAGCAGCAGCAGCAGCAGCTGCAGAACCAGCAGCAGCAGGCTCTGCAGCAGAACCAGCAGAGCCTGCAGCAGCAGCAGACCACTCTGCAGCCTCAGATCCAGCAGACCCCTCACATCTCCCAGCTGTTCGGACACGAGCCGGGACAAGACAGTGAGTATGACCCGGGTATAATACACAGCCCTAACAAGTAGCTTTATTACTTACTAGAGCGCCCTGACAAAAGAAAATTACAATAATCCAACCTGAAGGTAACAAATGCATGAACACATTTTTCTGCATCGTTTTGAGATGGACTGTGGCTGATTTTTGAGACATTGTGAATGAAAATAGGCTGTCCTGGAAATCTGTTTTTTGTGGGATTTAAAGGACATATCTTGATGGAATAGAACTCCTAGATTTCTATGGGTAATGTTAGATGCTAGGCTGATGCCAGTAAGGACTTAGATCATTAGAAAATGTCTCTCTGGGGTGTTTAGGGCCAAGAAGACAAGATGTTAAAAAAGTGGCATCGCAAGCCTCGTCTGCTTTGCTTTGTATTCCAGCATAGTGAAGCGGACGCTTGAAATAGACAATTCTTTGGGGCGATTTATTTATTTATTTATTTTAGAAATACCGAATTTCAGGGCACCTCTGCAGTGCTCAGGAATTGTCCTAGCACCTCTCCAGCTACCAGACCAACTTCCATATTATGGTCCGCACTGGGACTTGAACCGGCGACCGTCTGGTTCCCAACCCAAGTCTCTATGGACTGAGCTACCCCATATATATAAGCCACAGCTCACTTTTTAGATTAAAACATAAGTAGAAAAAGATAATTTTACGGTAACTTTCTGAGTATTTCTTTTGATAATTAGAGACTAATTAATGTAGAGTGACTTTTGTAACGTGTTCTTGTCGTGTCTTTCAGTTCCTCAGGACGGCTTCCTGCTGGGCTGTGTGTTTGCGATCGCCGATTATCCAGAACAGATGGCCGACAAACAGCTGTTGAACACCTGGAAGAGGGTAAGACCTGCACTGTGAACGAGGAGAAGGATGACGGTGGTGATAATGATGATAAAACATCCTCAGGCCTGATCCCATGTTCAATATGTTTAATGAAAAACAGCTGATTATCAAATATGAAGAAACTGATGACAGGCGTTCATGATCCCTCAGGTGATCCAGGCCTGTGGAGGAAGTGTAGACCAGACCCTGACCAACCGCTGCACACACCTGCTGTGTGAGAGCCAGGTCAGCAACATGTATGTACAGGTAAGAACACACCTGTCAGTCAGGTCAGCAACATGTATGTACAGGTAAGAACACACCTGTCAGTCAGGTCAGCAACATGTGTGTATAGGTAAGAACACACCTGTCAGTCAGGTCAGCAACATGTATGTACAGGTAAGAACACACCTGTCAGTCAGGTCAGCAACATGTGTGTACAGGTAAGAACACATCTGTCAGTCAGGTCAGCAACATGTGTGTACAGGTAAGAACACACCTGTCAGTCAGGTCAGCAACATGTGTGTACAGGTAAGAACACATCTGTCAGTCAGGTCAGCAACATGTATGTACAGGTAAGAACACATCTGTCAGTCAGGTCAGCAACATGTATGTACAGGTAAGAACACATCTGTCAGTCAGGTCTGATCATCTCTAACCAGGTGTGCTCTCTGTGCGTTGTTACCTGTGATAGGCTCTCAGGGAGGGGAAACGCTGCGTGACGGCTCACTGGTTAAACACTGTACTGAAGAGGAAGAGGATGGTTCCTCCTCATCGGACGTTACACCTGCCCTTTGCCTTCCCACCTGGAGCCAAACCCTGCTCTCAGCACGTATGTACACCCCCCCAATTTTACCTATTTTCCTTGTAGTTGAAACAAACTAAATATGCAGTGTGTGTGTTTGTGACAATTAAAGAATGTCTTTATGTTTTGTCCCTCAGATCATCTCTGTGACAGGGTTTGTGGACGCTGACAGAGACGACCTGAAGCTGATGGCTTACCTGGCCGGAGCGCGGTACACGGGATACCTGTGTCGCAGTAACACTGTGCTCATCTGTAAAGAGTAAGATACGACTGCTTCTCAATAGTTCTCCTGCTATTTACATAGTTCTGCTCTCCTCACAGCACCAGCCTGCAGTGTGTGATGACATCATGAAAAGTGATCACATTGGTCCCAGCTCAATGAGTGTGAGATTGATCGCTCGCTCTCTCTCTCTCTCTCTCTCTCTCTCTCTCTCTCTCTCTCTCTCTCTCTCTCTCTCTCTCTCTCTCTCTCTCTCTCTCTCTCTGCAGACCTGGAGGGCTGAAGTACGAGAAGGCCAAGGAGTGGAAGATCCCGTGTGTGAACGCTCAGTGGCTGTGTGACGTCCTGCTGGGAAACTTTGAGGCTCTGAGACAGATTCAGCACAGCAGATACTCCGTCTACACCCTCCCAGAACCCCTGGTGCCAAACCCCCAGCTGGTCCAGAACCTGCTCGGTACGTACGGCATCATGAACCAGGCTGTAAACGTTTTGTGTTGGATAGTTTGATCAGGACAGAAAGAGTAGTGGGGACCATTCACAGCAGGCTGAGAGCTCAACTAGCGTACTGTAGCTCGTAGGAGTGCAAACTCCACAAAGTGAAAACAGATGGCGACACAGCTGCACAGAAACTTGAGTAGCTGACCTGATTGACAAACGTACAAAAATGATTCCAGAAGTCACTGTAGTATGAATTCATAAATTATAAATCAATTATTTGTAAAAAAAAAAAAAAAATCTTTAGGTGTATCCCATGGTGTCTTAACATCTATATTCAATGTATTTTCTACTATAAATAACCTGCTCAGTGTATTTCATGTTTCTATGTGTATTTTTCTGCAGCTGCGTGGAGATCTCCCATCAAAGTGTCTCCTGAATCTTTGGCCGTAAGTTGAAAGACATTTCTTTTACGTCAGAAACAAATCGGTTTGTTGGTTTGTTTTCCTTGTTGAAGAAGCTTTGGTCACAGGTCCTCATCTCTGCATTACTCTGTTATATTTTACACTTTGATTTATCTTACTTATGTTTTCATTCATGTTATGGATCAGCTCCTTCTGTGTTATTGAAACATGATACGTGAGCAGCCTCGTTCAGCCTCATGTCAAACATGTATGAATAAATGTGTTGTCACAGAGTCTGCAGCTGCTTCACAAACAGAGGATCAGTGACTTGAACCAGCCTGCCAACAAGAAGGCCAGGTGAGTGTGTGACTCTGAACACGTACAAGATCCCGGACTGCATGTACTGATTGTATTGATGATGATATCTGTGTGTGTGCAGGCTGGAGGAGGTCCAGTCTCCCAGCCAGAAGCTCCCTCCAGAGTCCACACCTCGAGTCATGTTCACAGGTTTTGAACCCAACCAGGTGCAACAGTACACAAAGGTTAGAGCACACACACACAAACACACTTTAAACAGGAGGTGACACACTGTCAGTCAGGAGGCTAACATGTAGTCTTGCACCTGGTCAGGAACCTGTAGGGTCAGAACACTTGTGTCACAGTTAAAAGTGTATTTATGAAAGATTTACGGAGGGTCAGAATGATGTTAACACAGGAGAAGGGTTGCTGCGATTAGAGCTCGACTGATTAATCGGCTGATATCAGCATTTCAAGTGACTATCGGTATCGGCTAATTTTAACTCTGAAATGCGCCGATATTACTAGATTTATTCACCAGGCAAATTACATTTCATTTGAGTATCGTTGTGTTACACTAGCAGTTGTCTTTCACCAGCAGAGGGCGCTATATGGATTACAACGATCATTATCACTCTGCAGAGTGTAAAGCGGTGATGAACGTACATGCAAAGTTACTTTCCAGTTGAGTGACCATCTTTTTTACGTTATACTGTTTATACTGTATATGTTTTCCAAATGTGTGCAATAACTGCATTTAAGAGATCAACACAAAAAATATGTAAATCTAAGGATCAAAGAAAGATATTAGCCAATATATTGAAATAGCATTTTTTTCTCTCCCTAATATCGTTATCGGCCCCAGAAATCCTGTATCAGTAGGGTCCCAGTTACGATACAATAATTTTTAAACTCAGATATTACTCTAGTTATAATTTAACAATTTTGATACCTGTTTAGATACCAAGGCAACAAAAAACAGGTCTTAGTCGCCCATTTCTTGTTTTTAATTACCCAATATTAGGGATGTAAAAATACCTCGTGAGACATTTAAAAAGTCAGTAAACACAGGGGACAAATGAAATGGTAGAGTATAACCCTAAAGACCTTAAACAAAAAGGAAGAGATCAAAGATATGTTTTTATTTCTGCAGACAAAAAAAATAAAAAAATGATTTTATTGTTCTATAAAAATCTAAATGAGCAGACAGTATCAAGTGTGACCAGATTAAAAACTCTTTAAGGTGTGACTGGAGCCTTCCCTCTCTGACTGAAGGTAAACAGAACACTGACTCAGCTCAAACACAGACTCTGTACACAAACCTCAGTCAGAGCTGCTGACAGGCTGCATGAACACGGATTAACTATTCTAATTATGATCAGAAGAGTTTAAATAGAACACCTTAAGCTGAGTGACTGTTTAATCTCAGGTCAGGTCCACTTTTGTCTCAGTGGTAACAGGTGATGTACTGAGACATGCTAAAGAAGTCTCTGTCTGACCCTGTGTGTGTGTGTGTGTGTGTGTGTGTGTGTGTGTGTGTGTGTGCAGAGGTTACACTCGTTAGGAGGCGAGGTGGCAGACAGCGGTCAGAAGGTGACTCACCTGGTGGCCAATAAGGTGACTCGCACCGTGAAGTTCCTGACCGCCATGTCTGTGGTCAAACACGTCGTCAGCCCTGATTGGCTGGAGGAGAGCTGGAGGAGCCACAAGTTCCTCGGTACGTACGAAGGAGGGGCACATGTTGCCCACCTGCGGGCTCTGATCCTTCAGTTGAATCGATATTAAATGAAACATTGAACATTTGTTTGATTTTATGACTTCTGTTTATTCAGGAGACTCTTTTTGTCGCTGCTATAAAAATAAAAAACCTGTTGACTTCACAGAGAAGTGACATACGCAGGTTCAGTTTGTAATCTACTGAAATATATTTCAGTTTGTTTTCAGGTCTGTTTCATTATAAACATAATTTATACAATATAAAAATATGTGTCGAGGTAGCAGAGGTTAGTTTACTCTGAACAGAGAGGATGATATTTTTACGTGTGTTTGTCTGTGTGTGTGTGTGTGTAGATGAACAGGGTTTCTACCTGAGGGATGCAGAGGCTGAGGTGTTGTTCAGCTTCAGTCTGGAGGAGTCGTTAAAGAGAGCTCACAGCGCGCCCCTGTTCAAGGTGAGACCAGTTGTCTAACTGTCTTAATGTCTGTATGCATGTTTTAGTACTGTGTGTTTAATGTCTCTCTCTCTCTCTCTCTGTCTCTCACTCTCTCTCTCTCTCTCTCGCTCTTTCTCTGTCTCTTACTCTCTCTCTCTCTCTCGCTCTCTCTCTCTCTGTCTCTTGCTCTCTCTCTGTCTCTTGCTCTCTCTCTGTCTCTTGCTCTCTCTCTCTCTGTCTCTCACTCTCTCTCTCTCTCTCTCGCTCTCTCTCTGTCTCTTACTCTCTCACTCTCTCTCTCTCGCTCTCTCTCTGTCTCTTGCTCTCTCTCTGTCTCTTGCTCTCTCTCTCTCTGTCTCTTACTCTCTCTCTCTCTCTCTCGCTCTCTCTCTGTCTCTTACTCTCTCTCTCTCTCTCGCTCTCTCTCTGTCTCTTACTCTCTCTCTCTCTCTCTCTCTCTCTCTCTCTCTCTCTCTCTCGTGATGCAGGGTAAATACTTCTACCTGACCCCAGGTGTGTGTCCCAGTCTGGGCACCATGAAGTCCATCCTGGAGAGTGCGGGCGGGAAGCTGCTATCCAAACAGCCGTCGCACAGGAAGATCATGGAGCACAAACAGAACAAGGTCCTGGAAACTCCTGGAATCATTTCATGAGCCTGGAAAAGTTTTAAATAACGACTGTTATGAATGATGATTTATGTTCATGTTTGTTTTTTTGTTTCAGAACCTTCCAGAGATCATTTTAATCTCCTGTGACAACGACCTGCACCTGTGTCGAGAGTACTTCCTGAAGAACATCGGTAAGACACACACACCACACACCCCACTCACACACACACACCACACACACACACACACACACACACACACACCACACACCACACACCACACACACGCACACACCACGCACACACCACGCACACACACCCCACACACACGCACGCACACACACACACACACACACACACACACACACACACACACACACACACACACACACACACACACACACACCATCCCCTGACATACTTTTTTTCCTGTTTTGCGTTTTGAAATGTTCTACTCTGTGTTCTGTTATTTATAGGAGTTCAGCAGCAAGCAGCTGTACATTAACATTATTTAAACAAAGCCATGAGAAGCTTCAGTTTTGATATGACCAAGGTACCTCAATCGATGAATTTACAAGAGGGATGTACGGACAGTGGACCTTCTCCCTCCCTCTCTCTCTCCTCTGTCTCGCTCTGTTTATGCGTCCATGTGAAGTTTAACAGCACATTAACTGCGTTGTTGATTTTATGAACTGGTTCTGATGTTGTTGTTTTTGTGTCTCTACATATCCAGACGTCCACAACGCAGAGTTCATTCTGACCGGAGTTCTAACCCAGAAAATCAACTACGACTCATATCCTTTCAGCCAATCAGAGCCAAGTACGGACAGACGCATCACTCTGACATTATAACACAACATGGTAACACAATACACAACAGTTCCGATGCATGAGGGAGGGGGAATAGATGTTCATAAAGTAGCGCAGCCAGTCTGCTCTGCATTATAAACTGGTATATTGGTCGCACTGGTGTAAAAGACGCAGCCAACTTTTAAGATGAAAAACAAGTATTAAAAGTGAGTCTTATACACCGGATTTTATAGTAATCATAACACACAGAGCTGTGGCTTAGTGGAAGAGTCAGCCACATATAGCAATGTCCTCGGGGAATCCACTGAACCCCAAATTGCTCACGCCTCCAGAGAATGGAATGGTACCGATCTACCCTTTTGACCCGATTTAACAGTTTACGTTTACTCACAATCACTGTGTTCTTTTCTCATAATCTTAAAAAACTTCATTTTAATGTAAAAAAAATCTTTTTGTTCCAGTGGACAAAAACTTTATACATGATATCCAGTCAGCTAAAGTAGAATTGTACAACTAACATTAATATCTCTACCAATGACAGTTTTGCTGATTTAGGCCTCGTGTCCGCCTAGAGTCTTTTTCTGCGGCGCTGGCGTCTTTTTTCAATTGTTTTCAATGTTTTCCAAATGTATGATGTTCCCTGTAGTGTTGCTGCCTACAGATCGTGTCTTATACCCTCATCCTCTTTGCTCTGTGTCGGGAAATAAACGATCTAAAATAAAAGACATGCAGTAAAAAGTAACAAAGCCGTGTGGGTCACATAGCAGTTGTTGTCATAAAGACAGGACGGACGTGCTGCACTTATCTTCTCAGTGCACAAACACTTCATGCAAGCGCTCCCGAGTGCACAGTCAGCGCTTTTCTGTACAGAAAAAAGCACCAGGAGGACACGTCTGCAGGTTGTATTTCCAGCCCCTCTGTGTTTAAAACAGCAGCTGAGCTTTCAAAGGTTTTTAAGTAGATTATAAACAGTGTTAAAAACTAACCATCCAATGTGAGAGCTCCTCTGCGACTTGTACACGCGGTCATTTAAAACACATGTAACACAAGAGTTTGTGTCAGATGTGTCTAATGTTTAAATCAGTGTGTGGCGTCCTCCTGTGTGTGTCTTTGTTCATCGTGTCCCAGTTGTTTTCTTTAACAGTCACACGTACAGGTTCACCTGATGATGATGGAGCAGCGTGGACAATATAAGGAGGAGGAGTGTACAGCTGTCTGACTTTTCTATCTTCAGATTTTTTGTGTTTTTGTAGCTTTTTGTAACCTGTTTGAATAAATAAATAAATGGATGATGTTATTTTTGTGAAATGAATGTTTAAATTATGGAGGATTTTAACCTTTTTCCCTGTTGTTCACATAGAATGTGTCAAAGCTTCAGCTGCTTTTTGGAATAAAAACTTTATCTGTTTGTGACACACCTGTCTGTGCTCTCGTTCTGTCTTTTATTTTTCTACAGTGGGCGTCTGGTCGTTGGAGAACAGAGCGGCGTTCCTCCTCCTGGAGAGCGCGGGTAATTCCTGATAGATTTGATTTAATTAACTGCTAATGAGGGTCTGGGGTAGTTACTGGTGAAGTCCTGATTGCGGCCTGTCAGACAGATAGCCCGGGGTCATACGTGGGTGGGGAGCTGTAGGAGGGGGTGGGTGGGATGTATGCGTCGCCTGAGGTGCTGCCCTCAAAACTCCTTCAGACTGAATTAGACGCAGGCTGAGCCAAGGTCGTGTGCTACATACAGAAGAGTCCTCAGACTGTATCAACACGAGCTCTCTTGACTCTTCAGGAACAGAAAACTTTCATGACAAAATGTAAACAGACTCTTTAATTAACCGTTTCATTGTTCTGAGTTTGAGTCGTTTCTTTTAAAACAGCCCAGCAGGACTCTTAAACCATAGCTCTTCAGTGTTCGACCTACGGCTCGGTTAGCTTTAGCATTTATTAATTAAGGCTCAGAGCGCAAATGTCTTTAGCTTGTTCATTTGTATCTTTTGCTCTTTTGTTAGCTTTAGTTCTTTAGCTCCAGACTTTGTATTGTAAAATTGTTAATTTCTTTAGCTGTTGCTCTTTTAGAAGACAAATTATAAGCTCACATTAATTTAATTTCAGCAATTTATTCTTTAGCTTTGGCTATTTTATTTTAGCACGAGCTTTTCTCTAATGTTAGCCTTTTTTATTAGCTCTTTAAGCTATTTCTCACATTTACCTTTAGCTCTATTATCTAATGGCTTTAGCTTTTATATTTTTTAGCGTAGCTTCAACTGTTCATAGTAGCCTATCCTTCTTTTTCTGTTCACTTTGGCTCTTTTATCAGCTTTAGCTCTGTTAAATATTTAGCTTTAGCTTGTTTATTCTACAGCATTTGCTCTTTAATTTATTCAGCTTTAGATATTTTATTTGTTTTGCTTGAGCTATTTTATGCATTTAGCTTTAGTTCTTTTTTATATTTGGTTCTATTCTTTTAGCGTTAGCTGTAAATTAATTTGGCTTAAGCACTTTGGTTCATTAAATTTCATGAACCAAATTAGCTTAGCTCTTTTATTCTTTAGCTTGTATCCCTTAGCTCTTTAATTCTTTAGGTTTAACTATGTAATTCTTTAGCATTTGTTTTTTTGACAAGCTTAACCTCTATTTGCTACGATAGCTTTTATATTCTTTTAAAAAAAAAAATTTGGTATAACCTAGCATTAGCTATTTTAATCTTCTAGCTTTAGCTCTTATTAGGTACACCTACCGGTTTAGCTGAAGCACTTTTTTCCATTAGCTTAACCTTTTTTTTTAACTCTTCTCTTCATGAAGCTGTAGCTCTTTAATTAGTTCATGGGGTATGTCATTTATTTATAATTATTAATATTACAGTATGTATTTGCTCTGCTCTCTACAAACCTGATGATTGAAAGTCGAGCTCTGAAAAATAGTTAACCCTAAAGTACCAAAAATTGCAGTTCTCTGATGGTCAAATTGAGTGTCTCCAAATTAAAGTCAATGAAGCCCCAACTCTTTACAGCCTGGAAGCATCTGATGGATGTGGTGCAAGCTTTAGTCACCCTAACCAGGAAATCCTGGGGAGTAAGTGAATTGAGAGAATTGAGCAGATTTGATTATAACCGATCTCTCAGTGACTTGCTGTGAAATATGGCGAATGCAAAGTGCAAAAATTTGTATAAAAGTGTTAAAGCCATAACATTCAAATCCTCCAGGGGGCATCATCTACCAATCAGAGACGCCCTCTGGCATTGAGGATTGAGACCCCCCATCCCATCCCCAATCTTGTCCATGTTGATACACTGACCTTCTGAAGGCATTTTTTTAATTCCCAGGGTTAATGCACTTTAGCCGAAACTCTGGAGTTCCGATACCCTTTAAAGTATGTAGTGTCTATTGTGTAGTTAGGGGCGTGGCCTCTTTGAGTGACAGGTGTTCTGACACGGCTACCTGGTCCTGTCATCAGACTGTCCCCTCAAAATCCTGCAGTGATGGTTTTCTGTTTATTACGAGGCTGCTGATGTCACAGAGCTGAACATGCTGCTGATTGATCCCACATGTCCTGCTGATTATGACATCATCAGACCAATCAAGAAACACACACACATACACACACACACACACACACACATACACACACACACACAGTCATAATTAATTCCAATTAAAAATGCAAATGAGCTGTGTATCTGTGATTACAGCATCGGCTCCTTGTTGGTTTGTGCAGAAGAAGAAACAGAAAATGTTGTAATTAAAGAGAAACAGTTTTTTATATTTCCAATTACCCACACACACTCACACACACACACACACACACACACACACACACACACACACACACACACACACACACACTCTCTGTCCTGTTCGTCATGCAGAGGAGTCAAACACTAATTACACAGAGACGTGGAGGCTCAGGGATTCATCTGCTCCTCAATTTACATGTGAGCTAATTAGCATGTGATGGAACTAATGACTAATAAAGGAGCTAATTACAGAGCGGCTTCATGACACTGATGAAGAGGAGGAGGAGGAGGAGGAGGAGGAGGGGTCTGGACCTGATCAGAGTCGTGGTGATAAAAAACATGCCATTAAAAACTCACCTGAAGTCGCATCATTAAATCTGTTCACTGTTAGATGAAACAGAAATCTGAGCACAACCTGTGAATATTTCCTTATTTACACCAAAATGCCAAAACCTGATTTTAAACTCAAATGATCTTAATCCCTGATCCAGGTATAGATTTTTAAGGATCACAAAATCCTGATTACCAGAGCTATGAACAGAGACTTCACACTACATTACTTGTCCACAGGGGGCGCCAAAATACACAAACTGAAAGACAGCTGCTTTGATTTAGATAATTAATGTTTGATAATGATGCTTTTTGGTGAAATATTTTATGAAGAAAAATCATGTATTGTTTTACAAACCTCATCACTGAAGCCAAAAATCACTCGAGTGCAAAATAACATTAAAAATGTCTTAAAAAATCTTCTTATTATCCTGATATAAAGAATCCTAAACCAACCCAAAAGTTTAAACAACATAAACTGGAGGTTTGATCCAGATTAAAACCAGGATCTGATTACCTGATCCTATGCGATATCCTAATCCTTTTTTTTAATTTGAACTACTCGATTTCAAGATTTAACCCATTCAAACAGTGTTAATCCTGTTGAACTTCACAAACTGGGTTCTGGGCCTCAGCTCACAGAAACTCTTGTGGAAAAGAATTCTTTGAAACAAACTGAACCTTTAGTTTTTATCAGGACTGGATTACCTGATTTAATGTGATCATTTTTAATTTTTTAATTTTAACTTTAACTTTAAAAAAAAAAAGGAAGAACACCTGTAAGGCCTCTCTCTCTCTTGGCCTTTTAGATTATAAAACTTCACAAGGCAAGACGAAGAAACGTAAAGAATACAACCATTTTAACAAGAAGAGCAACAGGTATTAAGGTACTTTGTTTACTGTCTTGAACTTGACTTGAACTGAAAACTAGAACTGTGTGACTATAATGTAACAATTCTCATATATTTACACATAAAACTCTGCCTTGAGAAACATAAAAATACTACAGGTTTAAGAACATGTGAATTAAGATAAATCTGCACTTATGTTGAAAACATGTTGAGATTGATCCTCCTGAACGTTCAGCTCTTGATTCTCTCGTTGTCTGACTGTAGTTTGGCGCCCTCTGCTGGTGTGAGTTGTGATGCACAGTGACATGAAGTCCAGCAGGGGGCCTCGGTGCTGCTGCACAGCTTCACAGTGAGCTCCCACACACACCTGTCTGATCAGCAGCTACTTAAACTCAGGTGTGTGTGTGTGTGTGTGTGTGTGTGTGTGTGTGTGTGTGTGTGTGTGTGTGTGTGTGTGTGTGTGTGTGTGTGTGTGTTGTGTGTGTTGTGTGTGTGTGTGCTGAACACTTGTGATCACTGTGTGTGCTGCTCTGAGTCTCAACAAAGTAAAGTCACTTTGTTTCACACACAACACAACAACACATGAGAAACACTGGAAGATAGTTAATAAGCTGTTTAAATTCTATTTCAAGATAAATGTCTTCTTTAGAGGTTCAGTGGAGTTTGTTGAAGCTCATGTTTGACTCTTTAATGTTCAGATTAGATTTGAGATGATTGTGTTTGTTTCTAATATTTTCAGCATCTTTCTAAATGGTTTCTCTCTCCTCAAACTCTTTATTCACTAAACCTCTTCATATATGTTTCTCACACTGAGCTGTCTGGAACAAAGAGGGACCTTTTCACTCAACTCACACTGAGCTGGAAATCAGGATTTGTTCAATATTATTCTAATATTCAATATTTATTAAGATATTGTTAATGCAGAAACATCACTCAGTGTTGAAGCTATTGAAACAGATTTGAAAACAGTGTTAGACTAAAAACAAAAGGATGGGTGTTAGATTGAAAATGACCTCCTACTGTCTCTCTGGTTCAAACAGATTAGTGTTTGTCTGAGTTTAAATCTTTGTCTGAACTTCAGTCTGATGGATTTAAAGGATGTAAAATAACTAAGAAGATAAAAAGTCAGAGACTCTGAGCTCCACTGGAGTCGTTCACATTGAAACACACGTGTGGATGCTTCTCTGTCTCCTCCTCCTCCTCCTCCTCTGTGTAGATTGAAGATGGCAGCTACAGCAGCTGTTAACAGACCTCCACCTGCTCATCCAGGACCACACGCTGGAAACCTCCACTCACAGCCCACCAGCGGGGTACAAAACTCTGGATTTCATGATCCAGGACTACAGGGTATCAGCCAGGACCCCAGACTCCAACACCCCCACGTCTCGTCCCGGCCCGTCTTCTACGTGCCTGTTCAACCTCCGCCCTCTTTCCTCCACTACCAGTAGCCTATGCCCTTCTCCTATAACCCCTTTAGTGGTTTCCCAGGCATGGGTGAGTGTGTCCTCCAGAAACACGTCCATTTTTATGTTAGTTGAACTCTGATTCAGTCGTGATGGATTGTTTTCTTTGTACTGATTTATGTTCAAGAAATAATTTTTCTGAATAGTTTTGTTTTCTTTGTGATTTGACTTAAAGGTGTCTTAGGGAGTATTGGTAGATACATTTGGAAGTTGGAGTGTACAGATTTTGTGGTATTTGTTCATATACACAAATTGTCCTCAGAGGAAAATGTGGTCTCTGTAACTGTTTGAAGATAAAATGGTATCCGAGAAGTTATGGTGAGGGGCCTGCAACAGTGAAACTGTAACTCTCCTGGTAGCCATTTAGCTCCAAACAGTGTTCAGGGACCCATTTCTTCTTTGAGTAAAGTGTGTATTCAGTTCAGAAAATATAGCATAGAATTGTTTCACTTCTCCAACTTAAAAATGTCACCACCAAAACTCCATAGTGCACCTTTAAAAAAACATCATCTGTAACTTCATGATTGACAGCTCCTTGCAGCGTTCTTTCCGTTGTGTTTCAGACGCTGAAAAGAAAGTTAAATCTGAATCATAGTTTCTTTGTTTGGACTGTAAATTTATATATTTTTGTTCTCCTCAGGCTATGGCATGGTCATGCCCCCGGTCCCCCCTCCTCCCCCCTACATGGAGGCTCCATCCTACGTTTTGCCCCAGCCTCACATCCAACCAGTGGACTACAGACACCTGCTCCACCCGTCAGTCCATGCTCCTGCTGCACCCTACCAGCACCTAAACCAGCCTGGCAGAGTGCGCCCTCCTCATCCTGTCCCTGTGAGACAAACGATGAACGCAGAGGTCCAAACAGAACCAACAGGGAGAGGCGGAGTTTCTTTTGGAGAGGTGACCCCACTCATCAGCTCCGATTCTGGACATGGAACCACCTCAAACTCCCCGTCCTCCTCCAGCTCCAGCTCCCACAAACGAGGCTCTGCAGAGCCCCAAACCTTCACCAGAGACTTTAACAAGAGCTGTGAGAGTTCTGCAGTCACACAGAGATTTAACCTCATTCATCCTGCAGGAACAAAGACGCTCCAATCACGTCACAGAGACGCACGACAACCACAGAAGAGCCCAATGAGAAGTGTTGAGGAGAACCTTCCCCCCTGCAGGGACGCTCACCACAACATGTGGTCAGTGGGCTCTTCTGGTGGGATGGTTCCTGTGTGCAGCTCTTCTCAACAAGACGATGATGTCATCAAAGAGAGACGAGAGTCCGTCCCCGACATCACCATCATGAGCTGGGCCACGCCGTGGTCAACGATGTTAAAACCATCAGACAAGCTGCTTCCTGAGAACGAGCAGCAGCAGCCGTCTTGTGAAGCAGAGAATGAAAAGTCAGCTGAGCGCTCCTGTGCTGTCTGACACAGCTGCTGACAACACTGAGGCTCTGCTCACTTCTCAGGACTCTGAGCCACTTTTTAACATCCTCAGACTGCCTGGGACTCTCCACAAGCTTCTCTCAGAGGATAAAAGAGTCGTAGAGCTCCCCTCCACTGATGAACTACTGCTTTCTCTGAACCAATCAGAGAGGCTCCCTGACAATGAGCCAGAAAACGAGACGACTCCACACGCACACAGCACAGAGCTCATTCCCTATCAAATGTCTTCAAATAGTTTTCAGATGAAGAGAAAACTGAATGAGTCTGTTTGGTCTGTGGAGTCTCTCCCCTCTTTTATCCCCAATAAGGAGAAGCTGCAGCAGAGCGGACTCTTTGAGCCTGATGTCATCGTGGACATGATGGAGCAGGAGGACGACGGTGGACCTTTAGCCCAAAATGAACACTTAAGAAGTCATAAAGAGAAGAGGCGCAGCCACAGGTTTTCCTCCTCTGACTCTGTTCTCATGTCAGACAGCTGGCTGCTTTTCAGCACTCCAGCTGAGAAGCTCAGTCAGTCAAAGAAGACAGAAACAGAGGGGGGAATGGATTCCCCTGAAGGGAGGGAACAGAAACGAGACCAGGGGTCAAATTTATAAAAGAATGCGTAGAATCCGTACTAAAAATGTACGTGCGCCCAAAACCCGGAAATGGCGTGCGCACAAAATGATTCAGATTTATAAAACCGTTCGTACGCACACCTGCACGCAATGTTTCCTTTATAAATCACGATCCACCTGGAAATGTGCGCACGTAGATTAGTCCCATGTTCCGCCCTCTACACGCCCACATTCAACCATAAATGGTCAATGCAAAGCAGCTTGTGAATGAAAATGCATACAAACGAGGGGGCGGAGCAAAGGTTTCCAGCGCTGGATTGTGCCGACACCCAGAAGTTTAGACAAAGAAATGAAACTTTCTGACTCAGAAACAAAGGAACTTGTGAATAAAGTGAAGGATAAAATGGACATATGGATAGTTTGCTGCAGCAGGAGGATCACAATCTGAAGAAAACTCAGAGAGCGACACCACGTCGCTGCTGCATTCACGCTGTCCTCCTTCAGCGCCAAAACATCCAGCGTTCATCATTACACACGAGTATATCTGCAATGTTTACATGTTTACGGGACCCACACTGACATCTTCATATAGTGGCAGAGAGGTCACGTCAGTCAGCAGTCTGCCTCACTGTTTGATATTATTAATCAAAGGTTTGATCAACGAACAAAAATGTTTGATTGTTGGCCACATATTTTCGTGGGCATCTCCGTCTGCTCTGTGACTCATTATGAGGATATATAGGCTTAATGATCATGTCAGAGATGACCTGACTTAATGTCCACACTTGAATTATTTACAGAACAAAGACGTTCAGCTGATGAAGATGTGCTGAGTATGGAGGAGGCGAAATGTGTGAAGCCACCGCCGTGTCTTTTTTTTTTTTTAATTTTATGTTTATATATTGTCATAATGAAAGTGACTTATCGGAAACGGCTCACTACATGCGCGACTATAGCCTAAATATCGGTTTGAATAATTATGATGACGTGGATCTGTCAGTAAAGTTTGATATTTAGTGAAATAAAATGTGGAAGAGACGTCAGTATGTATCTGCAGGCTTCAATTCACCACTTCACCGTCTGTGTCGCCAATTTCCCATGCCTCCAAAATGAACGTACGCCTGGGTCACAGTTTGCTTACCGGTGCGCACATTTTACCGTCAGGTTTGTTTTGATAGATCACAGACTTTGTGTGGGAAAAGGCGTACGTTATAAATGAGACCCCAGAGCACGACTCCTTCAGAAAAAGTTCCCTCAGCTTCCCCGCCTCAATGGCAGAGTGTAGTAAATGTCTCTTCCCCTCCTAAAGACAAAGCAGATGAAAACAGGTCTTCTGAACCTGAGGCCAATCAAAGCCCAAACCAGGAATGTTTTCTTGTCACCGAGCAGACGGAGAGAAGCCCCCGCTCCCGTGAGCAGGAGAAACCTCTGCCCTCAAACTCTGCAGAAGAGGAGAAAACGCTGTGTCAGCTGATTCCTCAACATGGAGCAGACGTGGAGGTAGAAGAGAGAGCATGTGTGAACGCTGAAGAGAGCAAGCGGAGAAACCAGCAGCTGTGTGTCCCTGAGGTCGAGCACACCACGGCTGCTGTGTCTCCGTCAAAGGGACATCTAGTGGACTGTGGCGTCCAGTGTTCTGAACTGACAGACAGGAAGTGTCCGTGTGAATCACAGAGCAGCACTGAACCAAACAAGAGACCTCGTTTTAATGATTCAGGTGCTCTGCTTCTTCAAATCTCCACTTTAATGTGACTTTGACCTCCTGTAGAAAAAAAACAAGTGATGTGCTTTAACGGTTATTTATCTCCTAGATGTGAAAAAGACGAACAACAAGACTGAAGGATACAGTGTGACCGGACAGATGTCAAAGAACCAGAGAAGAAACGCTCACTGGAGGAACAGAGGACAAGGTAACGCAGCTTATCTGGAATAGTTGAGTCACGAAAAAAACTAAATCATCAAGACAGTTTAATTTAATGTGTTACCAATTATGGCTTCAAGCAGGAATAAGATCAGGTGAAATAAGAGAATGATGAGTCAACCAGGATTGAGGTGAAGCCAGATTTCTTCACCTGCTGCTTTAAATGTGGTCACGTCTGGATTTCTGAGACGGTTTGAACCTCCATCACTCAAAGAAGCCGACTGAAGAAACAGTTTGAACATTTTTCTCTGTACCATCACAGAAAACCAGAACGGCCAGTGGGAGCCCTACAACAGATTCTGTGGTAGACCTGGACGATCAAAAGGTGACAATCACAGCTTCATGAATGAACTCACTTAATGTAACAACCATCTTTAAAAAGGTTACTAACAGATGAAGTGAGAGCTGGCATGGTGTCAGTCAGCAGAGTGTTGGTTTATAAAGAGGAGTCATGTATTTGTGTAGAACAGCACGCTCTGCTATCAGAGACTCTGTATACACTCTCACATCATCACACAGCAGCTTCTTCCAGATTTCACTGTACCACTAATGTTCTCCTCACTCTGTCACCAACATGTTCCTCTTATTTTTGTGATTTAAATATTCCCAGAGTTGTTCTGATCCAGTAATCGTTAACGGTCTGTTTCTTCTTGCAGGTGGAAAAGGAAGAACTCGGTACTGAGCACTGACCATGTTACGCAGGAGACATTAATTAATTAATGAATCTTATTAATAAAATGAAATTATTATTATTAAAATGTACTCTGCCTGACTTGTTTATTTTATGTCCAAAATACTCTTAGGCTACTTGTTTTGATTGATTTTAATATTCAGTTTTAAACATTCTATTTGTATATAAAATATTTCATTAGCTTTCCAGTACATCTAGCAGTTTGATTTTTGAAACATGATAAATCATCATATAAGTGTTGGAGTGTTAAAATGTTCTAAAGTTACTTACTGTAAACGGTGAACATACCTTTAGTGCCTCCATGAATCACGAGTTTAAGATATATTGATATATTTCCAGCGAGATGTCGGGGTAAGATAATAACTTTTATGTTGTGTTAAAGAACATTAGACATTTCTTCCGTATAGAGCTGCCAGTTTGCAGAGTTCTGCTCTCACTGTCAGTCCCTCTTCAACCTGCTCAGCTTGGCTCTCAGTGGTGGAGCGGGACTTTTGGAAAGTGGCTGTGAACACAGACACCCTGACAAGGCAAATAGCCAATCATAGTTCACCATTTTGGGGTGGCTAATCAGATTTCTAGGGTGGCCCTGACCACCCCTGGGTCTGCTCCTGCTCGTTCACTCTCTGAACAAAACTTAAAAAGGAGAGTTTTAGGCCTCTTGACGAAATGTTTCATATTGCATTTTTAGGACTGCTCACAAAGCAGTGCCGCTCAGACTACAGAGAGCAGCCACTAGAGGGCAGCAAACACACAGGAACTGAGTTATCTCACTGTTAACCTTCATGCTCCGAGGACCCCAGCAGGTTATGACCCTGTCCTAAAGGTCTATTCTACTGTATGATGTGCAGGGCTATTGATCAGATCTGCCTTTTTCGACCCATAATCCAAAGAATACATTTCATGAAGTGGTTCCTACGATCCTCCTTAAACCAGAGCTGTTCATTTACATTTCACTAAATCTGTGTGAAAAAAGATTATTGCTCTAAAGTTTATTTCTCAGAGGTTTAAAGAGCAGGGTCTCCAAAGTTAAACATTAAGAGAACTGCCCTGCTAAGTGCATACCAGCACATCATGTCCGTGAGATCTGCACTTCATGTTAACGGATGAAGTGTAACATAATCCGTCCGCCTGCACCGACACATTCCCGCCCTGCCTGCTCTGCTTACACACATTTTCCACACACACACAATAAAAACACATCATGTTGTTCCTGTGTGGGGGAGCAGATGTGTGCTGTTGAAGTTGGAGTGAAGAAATGTTTAGATGAGCTCAGATTTTCATAACATCCCGACCGCCCTCACAGAGGAGCGCCCCAGAGAGCAGCCGCTGGTGTTTTCTTTTGTTCCTCTGGTGTAATATGAAGAATAACGTGAGGAAGACCACTTCACTGTCCTCGTTCTGGACCAATTCAAAGGGACAAACATTACAAAGTGGGACGAATGTGGAAAGTACATCAGGATTTAATTTGTAAATCTCAGCACTTAACACAAACTCTCAAATGAAGTTTAAGTTTGGTCTGCAGCAAATACTTCACCCTCAAAAAAAGACAAAAAACACACATATAGGAGTTTATAGTTCAATTAAGGGATTAAACACATAAACAACAAAAACAAAAAAGATTTAAATATACACTGACCAATAAAAGTGTAGGCTGAGCTTGAGCTTTCATACCGACCCCATTAGTGATTCTGGAGTGTGTTGGGGCCCCCTGGTGAAACCTCACAGAGGGCCTCTCTCCCCTGCAGCGTTCCTCGTCAATCAATCAGTTGGTAATCAAATATCTGCCTTGAAGCTTAACTTCTAGCGTCCATGTTTGTTGCTTTTTTTTCCCAACCAGAGCTCTGTCGTCATTAAAACTGCACAACTGGAACATACTATTTCTGACCAGAGCACTTGAAGGCAGCCCCTAACCCAGCGTGAGAAAAACAATGTGGTGGGTTTAAAAGAGGTCATCCATGCTGAAGTCTGGTTCCTGAACCTGTGTGTCTCCACCATCACACTTTTCCACAATGAGCCTTTTTAAAACAAGAGATAAAAACAGCTGCTCTCAGGAAAATATCTGAAATATGTAAACTTTGGAGCATCGTTTCAATACAAAAACAACTTTCATTCACTTTGATGAAACTCTGTGAGATTGTAGGTTTGAAATGTTCAGGCTTGAATAAGGACTGGTTATCTGATTCAGTCATGCACTCTTTTTTATTTTTTCTCCCCCACACCTTTGTTTGTGTGTGTATGTGTGTGTATGTGTGCGTGTCAGTGGGTGTAATAAAGCCATTTGGCCTAAAAGCTAAACTTAAAGTGTAACATGTTAAACAGGACAGAGCCGAGGAGCTCTTTTTGTGTTCTTGTTTGTCATGCAAGTCTCATTTCCGGTAAAGAAATTCAGTGTGTGTAGCCGGTTTGTTTGTGTGCAGGACAACGTTCTACTCGACCACATAAACACAGAGAAACAAAATGATCTGTGGGTGAAACTTTTAGCCTGAGAAAGTTTGTGTAACTGATATCAGGCACTAAACAATGAAAATAGCTTCTTAGATCTTACTAATGGAGTTACTTGAAGTGCTGTAGATGGAAATAAGATGTTCCAGCTCAACTGTATAAAAGCTTTTTAGGGGAAACAGACACAATTTTTTGGTTTGGGCTAAAGCAACCTCGGCACCAACGACTATCTTTTGAAGACTTCATATGCCTCTGGTGATGAACATGTTCTCAGGAAAAAGCAAAACTAAATGAACCCCTCCAGATATGTGCTATTAACATTAGTTAATGCAGTATTAAGCCTTAATTAACAGTGAATGCATACAATAATGAACATTAAGAAACCCTTAACAGATGTCTCTTGTTAACATTAATTAAGGGTTTACATGTTAATTCAGCCTATTAACTAATATTACTAAATGCTTGATAAAGATGTTCCTTTAGATGCATGTCTTGAGGTTCACAGCTAAGTCATGTCATCAAGACAAAAGTGTTTTTATTCATGTTTGTTTAAGGTTAATGACTGTTCACTTACTTGTCCATCCTCCAACTGGTGAGATCAGTGGACCACACCATGGTCTTCATGTAGACGTTAGATTGTTCCTTTATCTTCATGTAGACGTTCTTAACTTACAGCCTAACATATCATTATTGTTGATGTTATATAAGCATTACTAAACCATGATTAACCATTTATTAATGCTCTGAATAAGCCTTACTTAACCATAAAAAAACATGTATTAATGCTCTGAATGAGCCTTACTTAACCATAATAGACCAGTTATTAATTGTGACCCTTATTGTAAAGTTGCAAACATATATCCCTTAAGTAACACTTTATAAATGCATAATAAAGCTGAAAAAACCTTGCTTAACTATAATTAACCATTTTTTAATGCATTTTGTGACCCTTGTAAATTTAAATCAATCACAGAGCTATTAAACTTCAGGGAAACATTAACAAATCGAATACAATCATCATGACAACCATCTCTTTTCCACACTTTCCACAGATTTAAAAAACATAGCAACTTTTTATTTCATGCTCAACATCCTTTATTTAGAAAATTTAGGAATTTGAACATTCTTTTAAAGGAATAGCAAAAAGGAGATTTAACAATTTCACTGTGTTTCTCACAGACGTGCCCCTTACATCTTATTTTGAAAACAACATTTTCAACTAAAAACTAAAAACAGTCTCCAAGAGGAGACTATAGCCATATAGAACATGTTGAATGATCTCTAAGATTAAGGACTAATTCACTTCAACATGAACACCAAAACAGAATACCTGCACAAGGTGGGTTTAAGAGAGGGTGAGGTTATATTTGTCTCTCTTAATATAATCACACATTGTTTCCTTTCCCCCAAACCAACATAACCCACTGAGATGTATTTCTAGAAATGTTTTAATTTTCCAGGAAATGACAACAGCTGAGGTGTGAAGAAGAGTTTCGTGGTTATCTTTGAAACTCTCCCCGCGAGTTAGAGTTCAGTGATCTAATGACATCGATGAATCAGATGCAGAATCAGGGCAGTGGAGGATTATTCAAGACCCATTTATTTACTTTAATTAGCAGATTGTGATATTTGAAACGTCTGAAAAAACACTGTTGAGAGTCGCTATGTTTGATTGGCTATGGTTGTTGCTTAACTGAAAGTAACACTGTGTTTGGCTGAAATTCAAAATATAAACATTAAAACATTTCATCAACTGAGAAAATCTGAAATATTAAACAAAAAAACTACATTTTGTTTTTTACTTTGACTCAGTGTGATTGAACTTGTCTTTGACTTGAGGAAATCAAAGATCTGGTGCTTTCTTAAGGTTCGATTCATATCTGTGAAAATGATCTTGACTCGAGTAAAGTCTCCATGATGAAAGCCCCATGTTAAACGTATTCAGCAGTCCTGACCATTGAATCATCCTCTTAGCTGTCACACTGCCTGTATCCAAATCAAAAGGGATCATTTAAAAAATAGAAATTAATATAAAAAAAGGTTTGACTAAACTATTTAACAATCATCAGCTTTTACACTTGCAGAAAAAAACACATGGTATATGACTCCCTGTTTAATTTTTTTTATTAGTGCTGGTCATTGCTTCATTTATGTCACCGTGCAACACATTTCTTAAAAACTCCCTATGTCTTGATCTCTTTAACTCTAGGTTTCAATCTGAAGAATGACAGAAAACTACATTGACGTTTTTACACCTTTTATAAACTTTGACGACGTCTAGTTAAGATCCAACAACAACGCTAAATGTCAAGAACATTTCTCATCATGTCAGACTTTTTACTTCAACAACTTGGCTTCTGACAAGCTTTTTGGATAACTGAAATATATCCTCACAGTGACATTAAGAATGACAAGGAGGCTTCATATGACATACTCATAAAAATATACCCATAAAGAAGTAATTATACATACAGTATATGTAGCCTTCATCTGCATAAGCATACAAACACACATAAAGTGACATAAACATACCTATCTACCAGACAAATACAACAAAAGATCACACAGAAAT